CCATGGTGACCCCTGCCTCTCTACATGCGGGGGAGGGGCATGCTGCTGTCTGGCCCAGGCTGGGAGACAGAGCTCAGAGAGGACAAGGGAGGCACCCAGGTCACACAGCATGGAGACGGTGAGACTCAGGGTCTCCCCCGGGACCACCTTCTGCCGTCACCTGCGCTCAGATCCACACTAAGAGGTGCCCCTTCCCCCCATCCCCAGCAAACCCCACCCCTCATTCAACTCACTCAGGGGTGGGGGTGGGAGGTTGGGGTCTGGAGTGAGGTGCTGTCCACAGGGGGTCTGGGCCTTAGGCGGCCAGCCCAGAAGGCACCTGCTGGAGGCTGGTAGGGATGAGGGCACGCTGTCCTTCACATGCCTCCACCCAGGCTGATGCTCCCCTCCGGACCCCTGGAGTGGCAGGAGGGGACAGTGGGGGCCCCGCTGACCTGCGCCAGGGCTGCTGGGGGCTGGGGCCTGGGTAGGCCCAACCAACAGGACCCCACAGGGCGGCCTGGCCCGGCAGAGCTTGGGAGCGTGGCCAGGATTGTGTTTTAATAAACCGTTTTGGGGGCTGGAGCAATAGCACAGCAGGTAGGACGTTTGCCTTGCAACACGGCCGACCCGGGTTCGATCCCTGGCATCCCATCTAGTTCCCCGAGTACCTCCAGGAGTGATTCCTGAGTGCAGAACCAGGAGGAACCCCTGTGCATCACCGGGTGTGACCCAAAAAAGCCAAAAAATAAAATAATTTAAAAAAATAAACCGTTGTGGGGGGCTGGAGAGATAGCACAGCAGGTAGGGCGTTTGCCTCGCACGCGGCCGACCCGGGTTCGATTCCCAGCATCCCATATGGTCCCCTGAGCACCACCAGGAGTAACTCCTGAGTGCAGAGCCAGGAGGAACCTCTGTGCATCGCCGGGTGTGACCCAAAAAGCAAAATAAATAAATAAATAAACTGTTGTGAAGGCAGGGGGGTGGGGGGACACACACGGTTCACCAAACTGTGCCATTTCTCTCACCTTCCAATAGGGAACCACCCGCGACTCCTCTGGAGCCAGCGTGGTGGGGGGGGAGGCGCTCACTAATATTCCAGTCAACACTGGCGCTCACGGAGCCATCTGTCCACCCAGACTCTTCCATGGAACACGGTGGCCTCTGACCATGGCTGGCGCACTCGTGACTGAGGGAACTCTGTGGGCACGGCTGGGTCTGCTGGCCCCTGGGGACACAGAGTGACAGTCCAGCCCGTTCCAGCTCCCAGGTCACGGCCACCTCCTCCTGTCTGCCCCGGGGTCCCGCCCCAGCCCTGGCCCGGCCCCCAGCTGCAGGGGCGAGGGCAGCCCAGGAGGTTTCGCGGGGCAGGTAAAGCCCTCAACCTACAGAGTCCGGAGCCAGGAGGACACAAGGGACAGCCGGGTGGCCAGAGGAGAAAGCTGCCCAGCACATCCCTGGCACGCCTGAACCGCTGTTCCTGAAACCCTGATTCCCACGTGGGGACATGTGGGTGCTGGAGAGAGCCCCGTGGCGTGGACACCTCCAGGGAGGGGGCTGTGACCAGCGTAGCTCCTGAGCATGACAGAACGGGGAGATGAGGAAGATCGTTATTCGTGTCACAGGGGGGCCTGCCTGAGTGACATCCCCCCCACCCATCAGGGCCCCCTCGGGCGGGCCTGAAGCCGGGCGTCCTCACGGGAACCCACACAGCCTCCGGGAACCTGCACTCTGCCTCTTCAGCGAGTGACCTGAATAAACGACCCTGCACCTATTTTTAAAGCCGGAACTGGGCCACCAGGGTCCCCAAAGCCAGCGCGGGCACCGAGCATTCTGAGGGTGTCGCCCACTGGAGATGAGTGCCAGGCTGGGTTTCTGTGCATGGGGACCCCTCCCCCCAAGCATCAACGTGAGCCACCCTACCTCAATCAACGCAAAGATCAGCCAACCCATCATTCCTCGGGGTACCAGCAGGCCTGGTCAACTTGGCTGTGGGTGGGGTGATGTGACCCCCGCCATCTGGTCCAAATGACAAATACAGCCCCACAAACAGTGCTCGGACTCTGAAGGAACTAGGGGAACCACACTGAACGCCCCAAAGTCCCAGACAGGCACTGACCAGGGGGGACAGCAGGGACGATCGTCTCCCCAGGCCTCAGAAGGGCTCCGGGGGGCCCTCACATGGGGGTACAGACCGCCAAGGCCAGAGCAGAGGAGTGGGGGGGGCGCGGTGTGTGTGCAGTCAGTCCTCACCCTGACCCTCAGGACTGTCCCCTGCAGAGCCCGGGGGCCCGAGACCTCCCAGGGGCTCTGGGGGAGGGTCGACTCTCGGTCCAGCAAACGGGCCCGTGGCAGTGCTGCTCCAGGGTCCCGGGCAAATCTTGCCTCAGGGAGCAGACAGGACCAGCCACCCCATCTTACCAAGGCACCTGTGACCTGATCTCCACCTCGCTCTGCTCCTAGAAGCTTCTAGAAGTCACAGGGCACAGGTTCACCTGTAGATACACCTCACCTGCTAGAGGGGCAGTAACCCAGCGGGCCGGGAAGCCTGCGTCACTCACAACCAGCCACGCCGGACATTGGGTTCTGGAATCTTCCGTGGCACTTCATGGGGAGTCACAACAGCTGTTCCCCCAGACCCTGGCTGTGCACGTGACACCCCAAAGTCCAGTGGGGCTGCTGGTCCGTGTCCCTGACTGGGAGGGAGGCTACATCCTGGCCGGGGGTGGGGGGCCCTCAGATGCCGGAGACGGCTGTGCTGGAGGGTGAGGACAGGGGTGGACGCTGACCCCCCGCACTCAGCGGATGGCTAACAGCAGCTCTGACCTTCGGTGACCGTGGCCCAAGGGTGTTTCTGGCTCCGAACTCATCCATCAGCGGGTCCCAGCGGCCACAGCCTGGGAAATACTTCTGCCCCTCTGGGTCCCGCCCTTCCTTGGGCCAATCGCAAGATGTTAAGGGATCCAACCAAGCCACGCCCCTTCCTTGGGCCAATCACAAGATGTGAAAGGAGCCAACAGAGCCCCGCCCCCTTCATTGAGCCAATCGCAGGACGTGAAGGGATCCAACCGAGCCACGCCCCTTCCTTGGGCCAATCACAAGATATGAAAGGAGCCAACAGGGCCCCGCCCCCTTCCTTGAGCCAATCGCAGGACGTGAAGGGATCCAACCGAGCCACGACCCTTCCTCGGGCCAATCACAAGATGTGAAAGGAGCCAACAGGGCCCTGCCCCCTTCTTTGGGCCAATCGCAGGACACCAAGGAGAAAGGGCCAAGCCGAGTCCTGTGCAGCTGTTGGGAAACTGAGGCCGGCACGGCCATGCTCGAACCCGCGGGGCGCCTGGGCAGGGGGTGGGGACGAGCCCTTCCACGCCTACAACCTGCTTCCTGCAGGAAAGGGGGTGCCCCTTCCAGCGGGAGAGAGGAGTACTGGGGACCCCCTCGGCCAGCGCCCCTGTCCCGGCTCTGGGCTGGGGTCTCCAGCCACCCTTGGGTGCTTGGTTGGTGGCCCCGAGTCTGCCTGACCCTTTCCAGCCAGCTTCTGGTGGTGGGACGCCCAGAAACAGGAGTGAAGGGCGGGGGGCACTCTGCCCCCGACACTCCCCAGCCCCATCCTCAACCCAATACTGGGGACATGGTGACCGCCAAGGATGGCCGGACACGTGGACAGGCAGAAGGTCCAGCTGGCAAAGAAGCAAAGGGCGGTAGACCCTGGTGCTGTGGGCATTGCACCTCGGGGTGGGAATGGTCCCTGGGGCCCCCAGACCCCATCATGGGCCATGGAGGGCCCCAGTGAGTGGGAAGGAGTCAAGAGCCGCGTCCAGGGGGTTGTTTGGCAGCTGACCCACGAAGGCTGCCCCAAGGTGTGTGGACGTGTCTCCCCAGGAGAAACCACACGTGCGCCCCAAGACAGGCTGCTCCAAGGCCTCTGCCAGGGTCCGACCCACGAGCCCAGATGGAAGAACAGGAAACTGGGGACAGACATGTGCAGACAGACCCAGGAGAAGCATCCAGCGACCCACAGACTGAGGCTGCCTCGTCGCTGATGGTAGCTGGCCAGGAGGGGGACCCCACCTCCAGAAACAGCCTCCTGCTGACCAGCCCCCATCCAGCTCCGGCCCCCAGACTCGTGCCAGCACAGTCCCAGACGAGGTTCAAGGTGACCGCCTGACTCTGGACTGTCAGGGCTCCTGCTGAGGACAGTAGGAATGGACGCCCCTGGGCAGAAAATCCTCCGACAGGCCTGGCAGAGACCCCACTGGGGAGCCTCAGCGGGAGCCAGAGGCCAGGATGGGCCGGGGGCCCAGGAACGCCCAGCGATGGATAGGGTGGGGGTCCCACCGGGACCTGCAGCAATGATGAGGGAGCCCCCCACGGCACCATGGCTGGACAGACCCGCAGGGCCTGGAGCCCAGTCACACCCCTCAGGGCTCAGTCAGACCCTCGGGGCCCAGTCAGACCCTCAAGGCCCAGTCAGATCCTTCAGGGTCCAGTCAGCCCGTTGGCGCCCAGTCAGACCCCTTAGGGCCCAGTGAGACCCCACGAGGCCCACTCAGATCCTCGGGGCCCAGTCAGACCCCACGAGGCCCAGAGTCCACGTTCCAGAGTGGACAAACTGACCAGAACTCACCTCACGGTTCTGGCTCATGACCACTCCCCTGTCCATCCCCATCAGGATGCGCCCCCTCGCACCCATCCATGGACTGGCCACTGGCCACCAGCTCAGAACCACAGAACCACCCCGGCCGAGCACTGCATGGGACTCTCCCCGGCAGACCAAGTTCCCCGAGCAGATTCCTCCGACGCATTGAACCACACGAGCATCCGGGCACTGGGGACCCAAGAGGGGGCCTCACGCCGGCCCCACCCCCCAAGGCCTTCCCCCAGGGCCAGGCCCGCAGCCCAGCCCCCCCCCGCCCCCCCACCGCTCGTGTGTGGATGCGCCTTCTCCCACGCCGCCCCGCACTCAGCCCGTTCGGATGTCCCCCCGGGTGGGCACATGAGGCCGCACCCTGTCTTACCGGCCGGCACATCCTTGGGCTTGCCCTGTACCTCCTCCACGCACTCGGCCGGGAACCAGCCGATGTGGCCGCGGGCGCTGCCTTCCCAGAAGCCCCCTTCGCCGATGCTCAGAACTGGAAACCAGGAGGGCAGGTGTCAGCGGGTGGGCCGGTGAGGGGCGGGGGACAGACCCCTGCTGGGCACAGCCCCCCCCCTGCAGCCCCCACAGAGACCCTCTTTCTGCTTCCTGTGCCCGAAGTCACTGCGTGATCACGTGAGCGTGCGCTACGTCGGGGGCTGGAGGGGAGAGGTGGGGTCTGGCGGCCCGTGTGGGTCCACGGGACCTTTGCAAGCAGCTGAGAGATGGGGGTTCACAGCAGACCCAGAACAAGCGGGGAGGGGGTGTCTGGCCCCCAGTGAGAAGGGCGGGGTGAAAGCTTCCTGGCATCTCTGCAGAGGTGAGCGGCCTCGCTGCAGGGCTGGCGAGATGCCCGGTCCCTCTTGGGGCGTCCACTCTGGAGAAGGCCCTGCTCCCTCCCGGCCGCCTTCCTCTCTCCCTCAGGCTCCCTAAAGAAAATGGCCTGTTTTCACTTTGGGGGCACACTTGGTGGTGCTCAGGGCTCACTCCAGGTGGGGCCTGGGGGACCCTGAGATGCCGGGGATCCAATCCAGGTGGTCACTTGCGAGCCCAGCAGCCTCCCCGCTGTCCCGTCTCTCCGTTCCCTGAATCTAATGACCCACCTCCCTCCTGGTCTCTGCGGGAACTGGCGGGGGGGGGGCACAACCTTCCCCTCCTGCAAAAACCCGCCCCCCCCCCCCCCGCCTCCCGCTCAGGCACCAGGCCCTGGCTCCCCAAGAACCCGGGTGCCAGGAGCCAAGCCCCACAGTGTGCAGACTGTGCCTCAGGGCCAGCTTCCCGGCTGTCCAAGGGGCCGGCTGGACGCTGTGTCCATGTGGCACAGGGGTTTGTGGCTGCCTCCACCTGTCCCAGGCGTCCCCTGGGAAGACGATGAACAGGAAGGTCCTGAGCCCCCTGCCTAGGTCCCGACCCCCTGGCATCTTCCTTGGGGACACAACTCAGGACACCTACACCAGGGATCTTTCAGGGCCGGGAGTCGAGGTGAAGGACGGGGGCCCAGGGAGGACCCCTCTGGGGAGAGTGGGGTATGTGTTGGGGAGTGAGGGGTGGCGGCCCCGGGCGCGTTCAGTCCAAGGGTCCCTAGTGGTCACAGAGGGGCTGCACGTGAGCTTGACCCCAAGGCCCGTGCCCGCCCTCTGCTCCCCTGGGGGGCTCTTGGGGGCAACCCAGTTGCTCATTCATCAATCTGGAGAGAGAGAGTACAGTGGGCAGGGCGCTGGCCTTGCACTCGGCCAACCCAGGTTCGATCCCCACAGAGTCCCCCAAGCACTGCCAGCAGTAGTGACCCCTGAGCACAGAGCACAGGAGTCAGCCCTGAGCACTGCTAGGAGTACCACCCCTCCCCCCAAATTCCCCTTTGTTTCTGGTGCTGGGGTGGACTCAGGGTCCCTGGGCGAGGGGGGTGGTCTCCGATAGCCCCACTGCACCCCAGGAGGGAGACGTGCAGGAAGGAGGTCCCCCTAGTGACTGTCCCTTAGTGACTGTCCCCACTTAGTGACCATTCCTAGTGGCCATCTCTCAGTGATCGTCACTTAGTGACCGACCACCCTAGTGACCATCCCTCCTGGTGATCATCCCCCCGAGTGACATCCCCAGCTAGTGACCATCTCCTTAGTGACCATACCCACCTAGTGGCTTACCCCCTCATGACCATCCCCTCTGACTGTCCCCACCAAGTGCCATGTCTATCTCGATCCAGCCCTTGGTCATCAGCTCCTAGGATGGAGGAGCACACAAGAGCCAGGGCAGGAGGGACTGGCCAGGGGTCCCGGAGATGCCCCTCGCCCCCGCAGCCCTGGTGGTCTGGGGGTAGCCAGAGAGTCCCTAGTGGGGATGACCAGGAGTCCCTTGGCTGCCCCGGAGCTGAGACCAACGGGGCAGTGTGGGCCGCAGGACAGGCCCACTGGGCCACCAGTCTCCCAGCAGCTGGACCCAGACTGGGGGTGTGATCGGAGGAGAGACTTGGGCATGGCCACTGCCAACAGCCATCAGGCTGCCCGTTCCGCTGTCCAGGGTGGCGGCTGCTCCGGGTCCAGCTCCCCGGCGGGACAGACCCGGGACCAGGGCTCCTGGCTCGGTGGGAGAGGACTTTGGGGGTCCCAGGCAGCCGGGGCCCGGGGGGCCAGACGTGTGTGGGGGGCCTGTGTGCGCCCCACGCGGCGGGCGAGCGTGGCCGTGACGGGCAGTGAGGGGCCCTGTGGGCTCAGTGCCCAGAGCGTGTTCTGGGACCCCCGTCTCCGGCTCATCCTCACGTGCTCATCTGGCGCAGCCGGACAGAGAGAGCCGGGTGCCCCCCTCTCCCCCACCCCCCCAGCCAGCGGACACTGACCTTTGACCCTGTCCCCGCGGTGCAGCGGGATCTCGCCGTCCACTTGGGGTTGGTATGGCTTGACGACGACGAAGAGCCGCCCGGGCACCGCGCTGTAGAGCTTCCGCCGGGGCGCGGGGAGCTGGAAGTCGGGGAGCTGGTCCTTGCTGGCCCCGGGCACGAAGGGGGGCCTGTGGGGAGGGCACAGGAGGGGGCGTCAGGGCTGCAGGTGGGCCCTGCCGTGCCCGTGAGCGAGACCTGCGCCCGCCCATCCCCATCTCAGCAGCCCCCCGGGGGTCTGTGCGGGCCCAGGGGCGACCTGGGCATCACTCAGCCTCTGACGGGAGTGTAAAGGCCACAGCGCCCGAGGAAGTCCACAGGCAGGAAGCTTGCCCTGCACGCCCGTCTGGTCTGACACGGGTTCGACCCCCAGCACTGAGCCCTGAGGCCTGCCGGGCGGGAACCCTGAGCTCCAAGCCAGGAGCAAGCCCCGAGCACTGCTGGGTGTGGCCCCAAACCCATAAAGTAAAACATTGGGGTACGGGGTGTGGGGAGCAATCAAGGCAGCACCTGGGTCCCCACCTCATCCTCAGTCTCTAAGCCCCAGTCAGCCCTTCCTCATTGAGGAAATGTCTAGAACCTTCCGTGAGAGACCGTGATGGTCAGGATGCAGAGTAACACGGTGGTGGCTGACCCCAGGCCCCGCAGTGTCCCAGCCAACACTCCCGTCCTTCCATGGACAGGCCTCTGCGGGGGTAGCTCGACCCCCTGGACACGCAGGGGACCTGTGTCCTGCTTGACAGGGCGGGCGGGGGACAGGTGGAGGCCCGGCTCCCCGGGGTGATGCACTGGCCACAGTGCAGGGGACGCGTGGCCTGGCCTGGGCAGGGCTCAGGCTGGGGGTGACGTGCAGGCACATGGGGAGGACCTGGAGTCCACTGTGGCGGGGAGCGAGGGGTTGTGACCGTGCTTGGAGAAAGTTCCAGAATCACAGAGCCAATCCTGAGGGGGCCAAGTGTGTCCCAAAGAGAGCACCACAAAGGGGGCGCCCCAAGCCAGGGCCATGTCGGCCGCCCCTGCAGGGGGCAGTGGGAGAGGGACACAGGGCAATGCGTACCCCCTCAGGGCAGGGAGCCCATCAGGGCGTCCAGGCCCCGCGGACTGACAGTGCGGTCCCCAGAGCCGCGGCTCTTTTTTTTTGGGTGGGGGGTCACACCTGCCAATGCTCAGGGCTGACTCCCTGACTCCTGGCTCTGCACTCAGGAATCACTCCTGGCGGTGCTCGGGGGACCCTATGGGATGCCGGGGATTGAACCCGGGTCGGCCGCGTGCAAGGCAAACGCCCTCTCCGCTGTGCTATCACTCCAGCCCAGAGCCACGGCTTTGAGGGTGGGGGATGGCCCCCCAGGAGGTGGGGCTGCAGCAGGGACAGTGAGAGGTGGGCGGGTCAGGCCAGGAGAGCAGCTGACCCCCCAGGGTGGGCACCGAGAGAAAGACGGGCTTCTCCAGGAAGCAACGGGGTGAGGGCAGAGAGAACAGGACTGGAGGCCGAGGGGACTGGCCAGGCAGAGGCCCTGACCCCAGTGGCCAGGTGGGTGTTGCTCAGAACTGGGGACCCAGTAAGGCCCCCGTGCTCTTAGGGGAACCCCCAGAGGAATGGCTGAGAGGGTTCCACTTACTAACAGTGGGCAGGCTGAGCCCACCTAAACCCGACTGTCAGGAGAAATCCAGGCCCACTCATCTACCATCCATCCACCTGCCTGTCACCCATCCATCATCCATCCATCCTCCCGTCACCCATCCACCGCCTGTCATCCATCCATCTGCCCATCATCCATCCGCCCGACATCCATCCATCCGCTCATCACCCACCTGCCCATCATCACCCGTCCATCTACCCATCCGCCTATTATCCAGCCATCTACCCATCTGCCCAACTGAACATCCATCTCCCCATCTATCCGCCATCCACCCACCATCCTCCATCTGTCTACCTCTCATCCATCCAGCCGTCCATCTGACACCGACCTTCGATCCACTCACCTACCCACCCACCCACCCACCCACCCACCATTTATCTGCCCAACCAAACATTCATCTACCCATCTACCCACCAAATATCCATGGATCCTTTCACCCATCACCTACCATCCATCCAGGACTCATCCATCCACCCACCATCGATCCACTAATCCATCCATCCATCCATCCATCCATCTATCCATCCATCCATCCTCCCATTGGTAGATGCATCCATCCTCCCATCCTCTCTCCCACTCCCCCCACCCTGCCCACCCACTCTTTCATTTCCCCCTCAGTCACCCGCCTGCCCTCATCCCTCCATCACTCATCTGCCCACTGACTCAGGATGCCAAGACAGGCCTCATGGTGCCTGTCCAGCCGGGGAGGGCCCTGGTCAAGGCTACATTCTTCATGTCCAGTGGGTCAGCATGAAGGACCGGGCATGCGCTGAGGTCTGGGGTTAGGGGGAGTCAGGCCAGGCCTCTTTGTGGGCAGAGAAGGGCCAGGGGACTGGAAGGACAGGGGGCAGCTGTGGTGCTCAGTGGAGGCCTGGACACTGGGGACCTGGTTCAGGACAGGAGAGTGGGGGACTCCGAGCCACGTAAGAGGTTCCGGCCCCTCGAGCCCATCCGAGCCCGCACCCTGCAGTCCCAGGGGCCCATGGCCTTTGCCGTCTCTGCATCCGAGAACGCACCCCAGCCCCCCTTCCCGGGATGGACAATCGCCAGCAAGTCCTGACCCTGGCCCACAGGGTCATGCAACAGAGAGGGGCAGATGCTGCCCCCATGGCCATACCTGCCCTCTGCACATAGCCAGTGGCCATGCACTGTGCTACGGAGCCCTCTAGGCTGCGGGCGTGGGCAAGGGGGGCAGGGCAGGGGGCAGCAGGCGCTGAGACGAAGGCCAGGCGGGAACACCGGGCAGTGTCCACACCCTCACCCCTGGTACAGGGTCCCGCAGGCCTGGCCGGGGTCTCCTGGGTTACTCAGCATCCCTCACCATGTGCAGGAGGACGTGACCAGGCTGGAGCTGTCCACAAGCCCACACGCATCTCTGCACGTGACCTGACCTGAACTGTCACCAGGCCGCCTGGTGCCTGACCAAGGCACAGCCCCATGTCAGGGCCCTCTGCCTGCCCACTGTGTGAAGGCGAGGGAAGGTCCCCACTAGGGCAGCCCTGGGGAGGGTGTCACGACGAGGAAGGACTTGGGGGCCAGTGTCCTACCCAGCACCCCCTGGGACCATTCATGCCAGCAAAAGGGCTGCGCTGTGGGGTGAAGGGGAACGGGAGGGGGCTGGCCCCACCATGGACCCTGACAGTGCAGGGTCCCTCCGTCACAGGTGGACACAGCCAGGCAGGAGGGGGTGGGAGGCAGGGCCCAAGCTCAGGAGACAGGTCGTCAGGGGGTCCCCGAGACCTGCTCATAGCACATGCCCACACACGTGGGGGCCTCCGGGCAGTGCTGACCACCCCGGGCATGGGCCAGGCTCTGCCTCACTGTAGGACCCGGTCCAGTATGGGCAGAGCATGGGGCATGGGGACAGGCTGGTGGCCGGGAGGACTTGCCTGGGCACATGCCACAGACACACAAAGACACATGCAGATATACACAGACACATGCAACAGACAGGCATGCATGCACACAAACACATATGTGCACACACGTGTAGATATATGTACACACAGACACATGCAACAGACAGTCATGTATACATACAAATATACACGCAGACACACGTGCACACGCGTACACACTTACATAGACATGTGTAACACAGGCACGCATGTACACAGTACACATGCACAGATCCACGTGTACACGTTATGTGCATAGACACGTAACACAGGCATGCATGCACCGACTCGTATTTGCATGGACACATGCACAAACATACATGTGTACACTCATGGACAGACACGTACACGGACATATGTGGCACACAGACATGCAGTCACGCACACGTGCACAGACATGCACACTTGGCTCGGGGTCTGCACACCCTCCACCCCTGTCCTGTTTTCCTCTCCTTTTACCAGTGTTTTGGGGGCCCAGTGGGAGGATCTCGGGGGTCACCCCCGCTCTGTGCTCAGGGTCACTCTTGGGGGTGTGGCGGGGATCGAAGTCCCCTCGCTGGGCCGCGGTTTCTCTGTGCTGGCCGGGCTACCCTGCCATGGGCTCGGGAGGGAGGGGGCGGGGTGGGCTTTCTCAGCCTCCCCCCCTCCACCCCTGGACTGAGCTTGGAGCCGCTCCCAGTACCTCCCCCCGGGCCAGCGGTGCCCAGAGTCCAGGGAGAACTGGACCCGCTCTAGGGGTGGAGTGGCCGACCCAAGTTCCATCCCCGGCCTGCAGTCCTGCTGTCCTCCAGATCCTGCCCGGAGTGACCCCTGAGCGCAGGGTCAGGAGGAAGCCCTGACCAGTGCCGACCAGACCCTCCCAAAAGAGGTGTTCCTGGAGGCCAGGCGCCAGCACTGCAGGGGCCAGCAGGGACTGAGTCTCCCCTCCCCGCCTCCAGACGGCCGCCCCTTCCGGATCCGTGACCCTGGCCTCAGCCCCCAGCCTGGCCTGCACAGTGGGGCCCTTCGCCTTCCGAGTCAGTGCAGGGACGCGACGGACCTCGAGCCTCGGCCCCGCACAGTGCCAGCCGGGACTCCCACCTCCAGGCGTCCACCCCAGGAGGCCTCGGGGGTGGGGCCAGAGCCCCCCACGGGCCCGATCAGCGTCCACCCGGCCCTGCTAGCGTGTGGCCTGGCCTCAGGGAGCAGCAGGCCCTGCGGGGCGAGCCCATCCCTGCCCTGTCCACCCTACGCCGGCCTCATCTCAAGGAAGGACCAGGAAGCTGGGCCCTGGCCACCGCGTCCCCGGGCCGGCCTTCACCTGCTCCTTGCAGAGTCCAGCGTTCCCGCGGGCGCAGGGGTGCGGCCGGCCCAGGCGGAGCCACAGCGCCTGCCCCCTCCGTCCACCCCACGTCCAGGCCCCGGGGCCTGCAGTCCTCCTCGTGGGGGCCCTGACTCACCCGACGGGCCACGGCAGCGGGGTCCTCGCGCCATCCTCGGGGCCGCCCGGCCTGCCGCGGGGGCCAGGGCCGTGGCCGGGTGGGGGCGGCAGCAGCTGCGGGGACAGGCTGCGGGGGCCGGCGGGGCGCGGGGCCCACTCGGGCGCGCTGGCGTTGAGGTTGTTGTCGCTGTTGGAGCGTAGCAGCACCCGGGGGGCGGCCAGCGTGCTGGGGGGCCGCCGCCTGCGGTTGGAGTATGCCGGGGCCTCCCGGAAGGGCACTGCGGGGAGAGCAGGGGAGAGGCGGTGAGGGCAGGTAGGGCGGCACCAAAGCCAGCAACCCCCCCCCCCCCCCCATGTGCCGCCATGCCAGCCGAGGGCCAGGAACGGGGACAGGGGGAGCAGAGACGAAGCCAGCGCACAGGATGGAAGGGGCACGGGGTGGGGGTGCTTCCATCCTGCAGTGGGGAGGGGCAGGGGGCGGAGGGACCCCCGCGGCCCCAGGACCCCTCACCCGGAAACAGCCTGCTGGTGCCCTGCGCCCCAGAGCTGGAGCAGAAGGTCGGGGGAGGTGGGTTGTGCAGGGGGTCCCGGGAAAGGGGGCTCTGGGCGGGGCCGGGCCGTGCATGCAGGAGGGTCCCCGTTTGCTCCCTGAGCCCGGAGAAGCCCCTCGGCGAGCACCCCCGGGGGTGGCCCCAGACCAAGACACGCAGAGGGTGATTCGGGAGCAATGGGTGCAGACGCCCCCCAGCCGCCAGGCTCAGGTGCACGAAATAGGGACAGGCCAGCACACCGGGCAGCGTCTCCACGGCCAGGAGCCTCTGGACGGTGGGTCTGGGGCTCGCGTGGGGGAGGGGGGTCAGCGCCTTTGGGGGTCAGCGTCAGCAGCTGCTGCAGGAAGAGCTCGGGCAAAGGCACTGACCACTGGGATCCAGAACAGGACACTGACCACTGGCCACGTTCACGCGGGACCCTGGACTCCAGAGCCGTTGCCAGGCGGGGCCCGCTCAGATGGGGGCACTGGGTTGCCGAGCTCAGCACAGACGCTGAGCACCGGGCCTGGGTCTGCCTGCCACAACCCCCACCAACGCCCCCAAACTGGGAGGTGCTGAGCCCCAGGGAACATGTCCCCCCCGCCGGGAGGGGCCTCAAGACCCCCAGGAGAGAAGGACTGAGTGATTCAGGGTAGAGTCCCATCCATCCACCGCCCGCCCTGCTCCTGTTTGTACAGAAGCCACGAGAAACCCCACGGGCAACCGGGTGGCCGGAGCCTTCATGGAGCCGGACACAGCGCCGGCAGAGTCCACCGGGCAGCCTGGGCTCTGTCCAGCTTTGCCATCCCTGGAAGAACGGCGGGGCCACACTGGGGAGCTGCTCTGAAATGGCCCCGGCCACTATGTCCAGGAGCCAGGGAATGATTCTGTCCACTCTGTGTCCAGGGGACACACAGAGTGGCCGGGGCCATCTGGGAGGACTAGACTCCAAAGAGATGGCCCCGGCCACTCTGTACAAGGGACTCCAAAGAAATGGTCGTATCCACCTTGTGTCCAGGGTGTCCCAGGAAGGGGGGCTCTGGGCGGGGAGAAGAATGGCCAGAGAATGGCCCCCGTCCACTCTGTGTCCAGGGACACACAGAGACGGTCCACAGAGATGGTCCTGTCCACTTTCTACCCAGGGGCCACACAGATGGCCTCATCCTCTCTGGGCGGGGGATGGGTTCGGGAGACCCTCCCTGGGGTCTGAGACAGGGGCGGGGTGGGAGGTCTCCTGGGGGTGGGCAGCGGGCACCCCGGTACGTGGGGCGTCCACCATCCCAAGTCCCCGTGCTCCAAGGCAGGTGGGCTGACACGGAGGAGGTGCACCCCAACCCGGGTGCCCCACGCTCTCGGGCCCGTGCCCTGCCCCCACCTTGGGGCTGGTTCACTCTGTGCTGTTTCCCCAGCCCCCCAGATGGGACGAGGTGCCTAGAAGTGGGGGGGTTCCCACAACCGAGGGGAGACATGAGGGTAGACAAGCTTCCAAGCCCCAGCCCAGCCCCCTGCACAGGGGGTGGGGGTGGGGAGCACATGGCACGAAGGTGCCCGGAGAAGCAGAGACAAAGGCAGTTTCTCGCGGAAACTCCGAGAAGGAGGCCCGGGAGGCCGCCTGAGAGGGAGGCCGGGGGCCGTCAGTCAGGATGCACGCGGGCGTCCCCCCCACCGCACCCCAGCCCTGCCGGAAGGTGAGGGGAGGCAAGGGGGGTCATTTGCACGCCCAGATGTGCCCTGAGGGTCCGGCCCGCGAGTCGGCTGGCATCTCAGCGGTGACGTCAGGGCCAAGATTCTAATGAAAATGATCTCGCTTAATTACCAAGATTCACATGAAATTAGTTTGCCGTGCCATCTAATTGGAAATTTCTTCCCCGCGCACCCCTGGCTGGGGCGTCCTCCCTCCAAGTCACAGCCCGTAAACTGCCTCGCCGGAGCCATCCGTGGAAATGTTCATTTTCTTCTCCCCTCCCCAACCCCCCCTTTTTTTTCCTTTTTCTTTTCTTTCTATTTTTTTTTTGTGAAAAGGGTTAAAAATAACTTTTCCTGTCTGAAAATGATTAATATTCCACCCAACTGTTTCCTTCTCCCAGGCAATCTGCGATCTCCAAGTGGGCGGATACTTTCTTAGCTGCCTTCCATGTGTTTATTTATACCCCCAACAATAAAAACCCAGAAACCACACCAGGGCTGACAAGAAGCGTCTGTACTTTCAAAGTCTGCCGGTGCTTCTGCCACCGTTCCCTGCGCCCGAGGAAGAGCCTCCGCCACCGGGCTGGCACGCCAGCCGCACGCCCCGTCCGTCTCCCAGCCTCTCCTAGAAGTGAGGGCGAACTTCCCACGCCCTCGGTGGCCGGGCCCCCTGGAGGCGCCCTCCGCTCTGTCCTGGGGGTCGGGGTGGGTGGGTGGGGGACACTTGGACGCGAGTGCCCGGAGCTGTTTGGCAAGGTCAGGACGCAGCCGGCTGACACGGGGGCTTCCCTCCTCGGCTCCAAAACGCGTCCCAAGTCATCATCCCCTTGGCGGCGGGAAAGCGCGAGCCTAAGCAGGAACCGGGGTGCCCCACCCCCATCTCCCGGCGAGGTGCCCCTGGCCTGCCCCGCGCGCTCGACGACGCCTCTCCTTACCTTCCTTCTTGCTGAAGGCATTTATCAAAGACTTCATTTTCCCTCCGACCCCGGCACGGGTCCGCTCATTATATAACCTTGTCGGCTGGGAGGAAGGCGCGGCGGGCAGCCTGGCCCCTCGGTGCTGGAGCGGCTCGGACCCCGGGCACGGCGGCGGCGGCGGTGGGTGTCTGGGCGCTGTGTGCTGCCGCGCTCAGCCGGGCATCCCAGCCCCGGCGCGCCGGTGGCCAGGCCCCCCCCATATTCCGTCAGCCGGGAGCCCCGCGTGTGCAGCCCGGGGCAGCTCAGTGCCCGCTGCCTCTGCCGACGCCCGTCATGTGAGCATTGATGCCGCTTTGGGGAGCCGTGTCCTCAGGAGGAGGGGGAGCGGGCATGGAGATCCCCGGGGCTCCCTGCCAGCCGCCCGCCGCCCCGAGAATCCCAGGCGTTCTGGGATGCTGACGCGTTCCTAATGGGATTTTGCAAGAAAAAGCCAAGTTTGCTCCGGCGGCGCCGTGGGGCGGCTCGCGGGCGCCCCGAGATCAAACGGGCGCGTGGCACAAAAGCCTCAGCCCAGCCCCGCGTGCCCTGGGCAGCGGGGCGGGCTTCCTGCGATCTCTGAACATGACCTAGATTCTCACTCCGAAGCATCAGACGCGGGGACCTCTGACTTCCCGCTCCCCACCCCCCCAATCGCGGCAATTACCCTGGAGCCAACGGGATTTCCTCCTCCCTTTTCATAAGAAAAAAATAAAACACCCCAAAAAAAAAAACCCGGAGAGAGGATAAAACGCTTCAAGTGTCACCAGCACTGGCTGGCCCCGGCTCCCGGCTCCCAGGGCTGGCGCGAGAGCCACTTCTCAGGCGGGTTCAGCGCTCCGTCCCCGGACCCCGGAGGGCGGGACGCTGCAGAAGGGGCGCCCCCGGGCGGGGCCAGGCCCCCCGAGACGGAGCAACCCCGCGGGCGGGCGGGCGCTTGTGTCTGCCGCATCTGCCGGGGCTGTGATTAAGGGTGCGTTTCTCTGGTTGCTAAGAGAGCCGCTTCCGAGATTAAAAAAAGGAAGAAAGAGGCAGAGGGAGCGAGGAGACGGGAAAAAGCCAACGGGACTGTAAGTTGGGCTCCACACGGTGCCCACGTGGCCCTCTGCAATGGCGGCCAGCACGGGCGGCCCCGTCCACGTCCACGCACCGGGGTCCTTCTCCGGCCCTGCCCCCGTGCCCACCGCGCCAACCCACACTCCTACTGCCCTCGGCTCTGCTCTGCCCACCACACTGTGCCCTGGAGCCCAGAGGGGGCCACACCCCCACCCATCCACACCCCTCCCCCACGCGGTTAAGGGTGTGATGATCTGGGCACTGTGGTCTCCAGAAGCTTCCAGAATCTTCTCCCGCAGATGCAGAGATGCCCACAATGTCCTCTGCTCCCACAGGGCAGACCTGAAGCCGTGGCCCCCAACAGACTCCCAGGACGGTGCCCGGCTCATGGGGGTGCCCCTGGGAGGAGGGGACGGAACGGGGACCCAGACGGGACAGCCCCCCATTTGCGCCCTGGACACTGCGGGTGGGGGACCCATGTGACACATGGGGAGGAGCAGGACCCAGACCCCTGAGGACCTCATGGGGCGGGGGTGATGGCGCCAGACCTGGCAGAGACAGGGTTAAGGGCTCTGGACAGACCACCTGGCCAAGGGGGGGGGGGCTTTGCTGGCAACTGAGCTCCACTGGCAGATGCAGTTTCCAGAGCTGCAGGGTGGATGTGATATAGACGTGGATAACACGTAGTGTAGACATGGATGGATCAGACACAGTAGACATGGGTCAGACACGGTGTAGACATGGGTCAGTCAAGGTGCAGACAGGGGTCAGATGTGGCATATACCTGGGTCAGACATGGTATAGACACGAGTCAGACATGGTGTAGACATGGATCAGACACGGTGTAGACAAGGAACAGACATGCTGTAGACATGGGTCAGACACAGGTGAGACAAGGTGCAGACACCGGTCAGACACAGTATAGACAGCTCAGATGAGGTGTAGACCTGAGTAGAATCAGTGCAGAGGTGGTGCAACACGGTGTGGGCATGGTGTAGACCTGGGCCAGAGGGTGGAGCATGTTCCAGACATGCCGAGACACAGTGAAGAAGG